ACTGTACCAGTAGAAAGGCACCGCCTTAAACTTAGGTCACGATCCTTTATGTTACAGTACAGCAAGTTGAGGAATAAGCTTCCACATTTTATTCGCTCTTGCTTGTCTTCATTTCAGTTTCGACGTCTACTTAACGAATTTTTTCTTTTCACGGATATCTATAAATTTCTTGACATTCAACTTATATCCATAGATACGAAGTATAGTGTAGCGGTCGGCACATGACAATGGTCAAGCCATTGCGTCGGCTGTGAACGAAATCAGACCTCTAAACGTCAGAATCAGTTTTATTAAAGCCCTCTAGCTCCTTTAATGCAGATGGCTTTACGGTTGCATACAAGGGTATGAATACTGGCTCCTCTCCGTATAATGAACTTAAAGAATACTGTTTATCTCTGAAGGCCACCACGGTACACCTCCCCTCAAAAAACGACTTAAGAACCCTATAGTGGAAGGACTATGTAGTCGACTTCACACATATGCATGAAAATGTACATAAAGTTCGAATAATTAAAAAAAGAATAGGGGCTTCTCTCTTCGCTAAATTTGGTATCGTAGTAATTTTTCTTTCCATATCTGCTGGCGCTTCTTCTTTCTTTCCCCGTTTGCAGAAACAGCAGCAAGTTGACATTTGATGTTGAAATTCAGTCTGAACATGATTACTTTATGGGAATAATACCTGCCCATTGACGCCAATAATTACCGGACTGCTCCCACTCTTTCGCAAATTATGGACCGTCTTCAAGATTAACTCACATACTGGTCATGATTTTTCTTGCGACGACCGTCTGACCATTCCCGACAGTATTAGTAGCAGAGACATTCTGAATGGATGGTTAAGCCAGAGACCAATTTACATATTGGCTGAGGACGTCGCTTACCTGCAATGGCTCCACACTACACATCTTCTAGTACTCTGTACTAACAGACCTTTTCATATGAAGCTTACTATGCATCAAATACACTTCTCGAATGATGTCGCCTACGCTGATACAAAAGATACCCGAAATCTATGTATAAATATGGCCGTTTGGACTGCTGACCGCTTCAACATCTATTTTCATCCAATACAACAAGTATTGCCAGCATAATTAATCTATGGTACCTTGTTACGACAAAATTATACAATGCTGAAAACTAAACGCGTTGGTCGAATTAAAATCTTATTTCTTTCAAAAAAGTGACCAAAAGTGAACAGGAAGCGAAGTGCGATACTATTTGCAACAGTGAACTCAGTAGCTACTCTAATGTAACCTACATTTCTGCATAACCTAACTGATCTCACAACTTAACACCTGTTTCCTAAAACTCGTCTCTTAAAATAATCTCTCTACTCCGCATTGATAAAATAACTCACTATTTCGTAGTGGTATCCTCGGCTTCAGACTAGTTTTCGTTGCGTCGTGCTCACCTTCACCTTCCACCTAAGCCCACCACCTAACAGTTGGTTCTGGATACTTCTTCAAGTAAGTTTTGCAGTCAGTACAAAGAACTTACTCTGATGTATCGTGGTTGGCACACTCCTGCGTATTTTTGTGCTCTAGCTTCGAATTTCGCCTGCTGCTCGCCTTTGTTATTCACTTTTGAGGTTTACCTAACCAGTCCTGCATTCAAATGGAATCCCGGAGATCGCGTTTGTCAGTGTGCACCTTGCCACCAAAACCTTATGAAGAAAGCACACACCTCAAGGTCATGACTGTGATGCGGCTCCACCTTCAAGAATATCAGAGGATTCAAACAATAACCGAATGATTCTTAATTTTGGAATGAGCCTGCTTCAACACACCTCTTACCTGCCATGATTTAACGGTATCTAATGTACAGCTTCACACTGTACATGATATTCACTTCTCATAACCAAAATGTTCAAGCCTGTAAACTGGTTTGTATTCATGTAACCTATGTTGTATGATGTATATTCATTATTGTTTAAGCGTGACGTGGCGACCAGGAAATGCATTGATATAGCCACACATGTCGGTCATATAACTGTGGATAATCTATTGATACTGTAAGTGTATAAATGGGTCATTTGTGGTTGGCAAGGCTAAAAACTGAAGATCATTCTAAGTAATAAACTGTTATATTACTAATTAGCAAACAATGCGATTGGACTAGCAATGTCGGCTGGTTATAACACACACTTTGAACATTGAGCGCTTTTGATATTGATAATGGAGCCTGTCTGTGAGATGAGATATGGAAATCCATATCCATCTCATGAATCTCAGCCGATTTTATTCAGACTATGCACACTGATGACTTGATGTGTAAATTATTTAATACTGGATACCACTTCGTGAACTTTCAAAAATTATGAATTTGAGGGTGCTTGCGAACTGGTATCCCTCATGTTAGCTCCGTCAAATGATGATATTTATTATTACCTAAACCTAAACACTCTACGCAAGCTGTAAAGTAATATTTTATTGTTCGTTTCATAACTAGCGGTTGAGTTTATTGACATTCCGTCAGTACAACTCAGGGCTCAAGTCTTGTAGATATTTTGAGATGCATCAAAGTGATGAGGCCTGTAATCTGGTTTCTCTCATGATAAAATTTTTTAACGTGAAAATAAAACATTTATTTATTTATCTATAATGTTATTTACTCCTCTTCCTACCAAGTTTACGTTCCCCTTCTCCTAATCGACAAATCTACTCTCTAAGAGATAGGTTAATGATCTAATCGTGATGGAGAAGTGCGGAGGTGTGACATGTTTGCTGGAAAAACTGGACACCGTGCAACAAAATATATACTCGACATTCGAAGAGGAGAAAAATAACCGTCTGCTGCTCTTGGATGCACAACTAAGTCGTAGGAAAGATTATTCAATAAAATGTACTTGAACAGGTCAGCATTTACATGTAGGGTGTCTATACGGAAAAGGAAATGTACGATGACGTCAAAATGCTAACTGAAACATCAGAGGAGAATGAAATTTATTCAGGTTCATAAACCGCTACGAAAGTTAGCTGACATTGAAATCCAACCCGTATTGCCTCCCAAAGATATGCCTGTTTAATCACGAAAAATTTATAGGTTTTTGGTGCGTCCTCTTGCTGATGGTATATGAATACGATGTTCTAAAATACGTCTTGACACACTTGGAATCTTACTGCGTAATTCGAAGACGAAGGCTAGGGTCTACGTTGGCAGCTGGGCTTGTTGTCGTTTAAGACAGATATTATAACGCAGACTAAAATGCTGTGTAAACGATTGCGACACGTCCAGCCATACTTACCACTTTACATGCTTGTTTGGACGTGCAGACATGGGGAGGACCAACCAAGATATACACTCAGGGGTGGGAGAACGTCTACTAAAATGGTTACGAAAGCGGCCAGTTCCGCGAACGTCGATCACCCTAGATGGTAGACAACCATCAATGTACATTGTCAAAGACGCTATTGATAAAAGGTCACAGCATTGATAGCAAGGCAGCTTTCGTAGCTTTGCATAGAAGCTCTCAGAAGCGTATAATTATGTTAGTTTAGGCAAAGGCTATATATGAAATTAAACACCTGTCATCTGGTTAAAACCTATTTTCCCCCGAGCCTAATCTACCTGACCATGCTAATCTTGTCGCAGTATCAAGGTCACATTTAAATGTTCTCCTTTCGTTACCTTTCCAACTATTAAATTCTTAAATGTCATATTCATGTTTCTCCCACCTTGAGTTTTCACACGAAATGTCTCGACGAGTGAGTGTGTGATTAGATTGCTCGAAACGTACTACTCAAATACACCACATTGCTTAGGTAATGTTCATCCTCCAGTCGTCTACCCAACTAACTGCGTACCAACTGGCATTGGTGCTCGACTATATACCTTTAAGCCCATGAGTTCGCTGAAGCTATGATGTGCAGCATTAGTATTGGATCTCGTTGAGCCTTATTGTTTTCACCAGGTAATTGTCGCTAAAAAGGCACAGGTTTCCATATACTCAAAAGGTGGATTAGAAACTGGCACCACTAAACGAATGTCTATGTATTAACATGTGAAGACCTTGACGACCACTTTACTCAGTCTGCAACCTTCACTTCTGAGTACCTCACGGAGAACAACAAGTCTTGGAGATCCACGTGGAAGCGTAGACATGATTATTGTGCTCACTCAAGGAACAAAGCTAAACATAACAGAACCAAGCCTCAAGGGCCAGAAATGACGGATTAAAACTGTTGGTTAGCTGCAGTCGTTTGAAGGGTGTTATATACAAAACAAGCGAACCAACTAAAGTGAAACTAGATGAACAACGTAACTCACGATAGCAAGCGAGATGTCGTTTAAGACCCCAGATGCGCAGCCAAATGCGGAGGCCAGCTGAAGCTTAGAGCCGAACAATGTTAATTAAAATTTTTGCGGTAGATCATGGAACATCGCATTCACCTTGATGAGGGACTGTGACAGCCAGAACGCGCTCTCCTTCTCATTTAGGACCCGTCAGCTGCATTTGCTTTCACTTTTATGAGTGAAACTGTTCCCTCTGAGATTCGAACCCCGAACCAATAGCTGCAAACTCCACCGGGTCACAAAAGCCACAACTAGTCCAACAAGTATCGCTTGTTGTCGTATAGCATCAAGAAATGACAAGAATCGAACATTAGTGAACGACACCCGTTGCAGAAGCGGTGGTTTTCATGCCCAAGTGGTCTAGCGAATAAAGCTTCGGCATTTAAAACGATTGGTCCTTGTCTGGAGTCCCAGTGAGAACAACACTGAGTTTCAGTTACATCCAAGTTGGACTAAGCGCTCGTCCTTGATTCCAAAGTGAGTCAGTAAGATGAATGCAATAACCTGCAGTATCGAAGCATCCACACAGTAGCCCATTTGCAACAGAGGTCGAGCAAATCGAAAAATTACGGGTATCGAACAACAGATTGTAGAACAACCAATTACCTAACAATTACAAGTATGAACATGAAGAAGTAAATGAATGCTATTGTATAAAATGAAATGTTATCAGAAAATATTTTTTGATATGGTACACAACCTCTGTCAGATACACGCTTCTGTTTTGTCAACTCAATGCCTACATTACTTTTCACGCACAATTTTAAAAGATGTCATTTGATCTCACTTGAATGTTGCGATGACGGCTTCTTCACAAGGCTCTTCAATGAATAATTTTGAGTTTCAGAAGTCAAACGTGAATACTGAGAAAGAACAATTGCCTACTTCCTCTCACCATGCAGCTTTCAATGCCTATCCTCTGGAATGCTCACCGAATTTTCTAAACCCAACAAATGAGGTGATATATATGCCTTTAAATCCGACAAACATACCTTTATCGCTCCAACCAGCCTGTAATTCTACTGAAAAATCAAGCGATTGTGCTCAAAGTTACAGTCACCCTATATGTCATGGGTTTATTTTCCCGAATTCGGAAGAAGGCACATGTGATACTGCTGTAGATCTCAGAAACATTTCAAGTGTTCAAGATAAACCTGAGAGTTTTTCGTACAACCTGACAAATCAACTTTTTAATCAGAGTCTAAGCAATATGGATTACAATACTCAAAGGCAGTTGCAACTACTACTGCTCCAGAAGCTGATTGAGCTACAGCTTGCTGAAAATTATAATTCTCTCAAAGTACCTTTTGAGTTAGCAGATGAATCAAATGTTCACTCTGAAAACTTTAGTACGCTTCCATGCATTGTTCAGAGTCCAGACTCAGATGATTATTCTAGTCAGAGCTGGGCCATACACAGTGAACACTCAGATATGTCTACATTTCTAGTGCCGGTTGAGGCTAAGTTTGAAGGGGAAAGTAGTCTTTCCTTGCGTATAACTCCTAGAGATGACAACGGTCATTCTAATCAAGGAACTCCAGTTACGGTAGAATATCCTACTAAACCCATTGTGTTGTACCCGTTTACTGTTCAGCATGATGTTTCACTAGAAGAAAAATTCTCAGTGAATCAATCCGTCCTCGAAACATGTCCAAGTGGTCCAACCCCTCAAACTTTAAAAATGACAGACATACATCACTGCATACGTAGAGGATCATTAGAATTTCCGCCTGAACCTGGAAATGATATAGTTGAGAGCATACGAGGTCATACGAGACCTGGGTTTGTCTTGTTGAGCGTTCGACATGAAAAGATAAATACGGATAACAGACCTTCTCCAACCTCAGCAAAAGCTACTAAGGAAATAATTCCTTCTGTTATAGCGACTGAAAATCCTGAACCAAGGACATCAAATGTTGAAATACCAAAGAAGTCCTCTAGAAAGCGATTGAGGTGCTCTAAAAATGAAGGGGAACTACGAAAACGTTCTGTAGGACGTTCTTCCAAGTCTGCCACAAAAAGCGTTAGGAGTGATGGAATAAATCAGTGTCTGGTTGAACTAACAGAAGAAGATCTCAAAGCATTATCCTCTCAATCAAGATTTAGAGTTACTAGGTTTGCAGACAAAAGGCAAGCCTGGATAGCTCCTTCAAAAGCGGGTTGTTTTGCTGTGCATGATTTATGGACCACTAAGCTCCCTGAATATGTTTTGAAGTGTGCTGAGTATTTGAAGCAGTCAGATTCTTCTTTACTTAGAGTCATCAACAAGTACAGTCAAATATCCAACTTCATAGATGACATTACAAACGGATATTGTGAAGCCTGTCGTAACTTACTCCGTGAGTTCAATATTTCATCTTAACAACTTTTTTCCTTAACCATTACAAATAAAGTCTGTCGAATTCAAATTAAGCTTTAATACGCTAGTTTCATAGCCGCTTTAAATAACTTCCATTAGTGATGCCTGAGTTTCTAATGAAACGATTCTTGGCTTTTGTCTATCAAGACGATTATCTAAGTCTTTTGCTTATGGTGTTAAACAGAAAGATTCTGAAAAGCTTGAATATTGTGATGGGACCCAGAAGGAATTAGTCTTTAAACTGTGGGGCTAAATTTAATTTCTGAAACAACTGATCTTTAAATGTATTTCAACAGTTTGAAAGCAATGTTGTTAACTAGTTGATACAGAATTTTACTACAAAATACATTTTAACTGGAGGTTGAGTGTCAGTCACTATTTAAAAAAAAATGATTTCATTATGTCTCTGCTTAGGAACCAAAACTTTTGCTCAAATCTTCAAGATACATGTATTTTTTAAACTTATTTAGTATACTAATAAGATAAGTATGTATAATTCATGAAATTTTTATGTGATCAATTCCAGTTATAGTCGTTTTCTTGCATAAGTGTGCTACTGAAATTCAGACTGTCAAAACTAACAACCACAAGAATACTACCTAAATTAGCTAAAACAGTCACCTTTGCAGAACATACTTTTGCAGCAATATTATTGGCCAACGGCTGCATCCCGATATATTAGACTATTAGCCGCCATTTTTGCGTATGGATATGTTTTACCACTCAAAACCATGGAGAAGAGTTTGCGTACATTTAGTCTTAATTCAAAGTGGAGTCCTTAAATTGCCTGACCCATTCGTGTTTCTTTGAATCTAGTTAAAAGAAGAGGATTTGCTTTTCTACCATTGAACGTTTATTCACTCAATAACAGGACTGACTTTCGTGGAATTTCTCAGTATCTGGAACAAGGTTTAGAAAACTGCAATATTCATACTTTTGCAATAACTATCAGTTACACTGTTCGTTTTGGTGAAAGTTGCGACAATAAAATTACTAACTGACTTTTGGTGTCTTGATATAAATTATAAAAATATAGAAAAATTTAGCAGAGTTATATTTTAAATCTAGTTTTACACTTTAATAGCCCCCAAAAAGAAATATGCATTTTCACTCGTCAAGTCTGCGTAAAGTCATAGACTTCTATCACGTTATCCTGATTGTTGACACTAAAGTTACACTAACCTTCAGCCATTCAGTGTGGATGACCTCTTTTTGAGCATTTACAAATAATTTGGGTCTACAGTGCTGATTGAGACAGAAGAGCTTACGGCTTAAATTTTACACAAGAAAGCCTACATTAAGAAACGTTTGACTGAGATACTGAGGGAATTGTATGGTATTTTAGGCTAGCTGTTCTTTAAAAACTATATATCTTTCCTAGAGATGATAATTTTAGGCCGAATTCACCTAGTTAGATGAAGCGACGTTGTTTAAAGGAACTTCAGAAGCAATGATGACCTGGAATAAGCTACCAGAATTCGGTCATTCTTTTCAGATTTTGTGCTTTTATGGATCATAACAGACCACTGAAACTGAAAAACATGTAGCCATACCACGTTGATAATGAAATGATAGTGAATACTTATACTTTGCGGTTTTGAGTATCCTAATCTAGTTATTGAGATCTCAGGTCCAGCTATAAACTGACAAGATGATTAGTTTGAGATGACGTGTTATCATAAGCTTGGATTTACAAAGACAGAGACCAGTACGATATATCAACCCTCAGATTTTAGGCGGACACTAAGGGAATCGATTTTATATGTCAAAAAATTGTTCAACATATAGCTGCTTTATTTGCCTTGGAAATTTATGAAATATTAAAGAGACATATGATGATAACAGTGACCCATGATTAATCATTACCGAAAATGACTTAAATATTATCAGCAGAAAATGTGCCATATTTTCAGTTACATGCAAAAAGCGTTAATGAACGTCATATTTCATCAGTATGTCAGCTGATCAAATATTTCTTATTCTTGTAAACAACTACAATTAGATACAAATAAATTACTTATCACTCTTTAAAGAAATTTCGGCCTTGATATTGCCTCCTGACACAGAATACAAATGAAGTATTCTGGATCTTAGATTCCTTTTTAAATTTAAGTATTTACTGATAATTTTAACCCTATTACAACAATAGAACCAGGAGATTCATAAAGCCATTTAATAAAGCATGTTTATAGAGGTAAACAGGAAATATAGTGAAAATTGAATAGTAGTAGTTTGGAAGCATGGCACGACTGTGAACTTTTAGCGTACCTTATCGTTTACTTGAAAATAAAATTCTCACAGAATTACTTGAACTGAGTCTGGTTTACATTTGAAAATACTTGGAACCCGTAGGACTTAATCCCCCTGATAGCACACGATATATATATATATATATATATATATATACTTCCATTCGGTATGGTACCTGAGGTCTTAAATTTTTTCAGTATTGCCCTTACCACTCCAATGAACCATCAGCTGAATTCAATACATAGTTGGAAATTTCCTAACATTTATGCTGAGTGATGACTGAAGGTGAAATAAAAGTTTGGACCGTGACCGGATTCGAACCAGCAACCATCGGTTGCCGGCCCTATGCTGTACCAACTGAGATACGATCCTCACTCAGTCATCACCCAGTATAAATACTAGTCTACCAATCTACGTCTGTCTCAGATAGTCAAATGATAATTCTCCAACAGACAATATTTTTTCAAATTTATATAAGCTCACTTGTCAGAAAGAAAAACTCATTGTCACGTACTGCTTGTGTTCGAAATAACAACTCAAATCCATTACTGTGTCGGAATGACCTGTTGTTTAGGCACTTATAAAGTTAGCAGGGAGCACAATTCAGTTTTCGTATCTTTAAATTTACTGGAAACCCTTTCAAGTGGTGAATGTTTTTTGGATGTAAATTTAGTGACGTGGTTTTTCCGAATTAGGTGTTTGATATTCCAGAAATTTAATTGCATATTAGATTCGTTTAATCCGTTTATAATATACAGTGATGCGGTATTATTTATTTCATGATGTTTTAAGCACAACCTACTGATCATAATCATATCAATGTAATTATATCACTTTACACAATCAAATATTATAGTCCTGTCATCTGATGTTGTTTGTTTTCATTGGTAGTAAACGTTTTTTATACCTCTGGTACAGTTGTTGCGTCATTCTTATTACATGTGTTGAGTGTTGACTCGATAAACAAAGCAGCACTAATCCATATCTATCTTTCCACCTAATTTTATTTGACTTGCGTACAATGGTTTCATCCTGACATATTGTGTATTTTCAACATTCATTCCTTGAAAAATCAAATTATTCCAAAATACCTTCCCCTACGTATTCCAATATCGAATGACGAAAACAAAAGAATGTCAGCAAACTTTGTCTCAAGGAAGAAATAAACAGGATTATCAGGAAGTTAAGTGCCATCTGGAATACAACTAAACAATTAAAATGTAAACTTATGAAGACAGTAAACAACAGAGAATATGCATTTCTTTTATAAAATCATCAGATAAATAAAAATCGGCTGCTTTCAGGAAATCCAGAAACAACCAACCTAAAAATTTCAACAAATTATTGCAATAAAAATATCCTTCGAAAAATAATCACATTTAAAATAAAACATCATTGAACGTCGATAGATCAAAGTGGGTAGTTAGTTTCTCATCGAGAACCTTAAGCTCAGTTAAGATGGAAATACTAGGAAAAAGGACTAAACTTCAGCGTAACAACAGGACATATAAAACTTGAAGTTGTCATGCCTAGCATAGAAGTGACATTAAGCTAGGTTGATGCGGCAGTCACTGAATAGGTTAGAGCACAGTGTGGATTAGCACTGAAAAAACAAAAGAAGAGACAATGAAACTTAAGAAAAATTGAAAATTCAACTCTGAATGATCTACAAAATGATAGCATAATAATTGCTAGATGTGATAAAGGCAAATAAGCAGTAGTTGTGGACAAATCGGATTATTTCAACAAAATTGACGAACTTGTCCAAGCAGGACCATATGAAGAAATCAAGAAATCCGTAGACAATACCACGAATGAGTTAAGAAATCTACAGCCAATCTGATACTCCGATTAAAGTAATCTCTAGCTGAGTCTAAATGGTTTAATTTAATGCCTAGAACTAATAATCGTAGCAGAACTTATGGTACTATTAAGGTTCATAAACCAGGTTATCCCATCAGACCCATAGTTGACTTCAGAAGCACCCCAAAATATGAACTATCAAAGTACTTAGCACCAATATTATGCCCTATTTGGAACCGTTCAAATTCTAGACTAGTCAATTTTAATGAGTTAAAACTGAGACTTAATGGGCTACATATAGGAAAGGATGAAAAAATAGTTAGTTTCAACGTAACAAGTCTTTATACTAAAATACCAACCAAGATGACATTGGAAGCAGTAAGAAATCAACTAAGTATTCGCTCAGCACCCACTCAAAGAACTACGATATCCGCTGATGAAAGCATATTAGATGTACTGCTGTGCCTGAACCATACGATTTCCAAGTTTCAGGACAAAATATACAGACAAACAGAAGGAGTAACAACGGGATCGAAAGTACCCCTAATCGCAGCACATATATCTATAGACAGTTTCGAAAACATGGCTTTACAAACTTTTTATCCTGAACCTAAGATATGGTACCGATATGTGGACGACAAATTTGCTGCGTTGAAATCGGAACATATCGACAGTTTTCTCAGACATATAGCCTCAGTATGAGGTGCAACCCAGTTCACTTACGAAGTAGAAGATGAACAAGGAGAATCACTTATCTTGGATTGCAGGATAAAAAGAAGGACAGACGGTGGTTCAGATACTGCTAACTGCAGGAAACAGATACATTCCAACAGGTATCTAGAATGTAAGTCATCCTACCCAGTGCCAGTTAAAGCAGGTTTAGACAAAAATATCTAGTGGTAAAGCTGAAAAGCTCGCTAGTCAGTG